AAATAAATAAATAAAAGGGATCACAGAAATTGCATATTTTTATTCAGTACTGTCCCAAATAAGCCATTTCACATAACAAACGTTTATATAGATTCCACAAGACAACAGGACTTGATTTTACAAAAACTACCCCATTCAAAAGTTTACATACCCTTGAATCATAATATAGTGTGTTGTTTTCTGGATGATCTATGATTATTTTTGTGATTGTTGTTCATCGTGACTCCCTTAAGCAGTTCATCTGCCTGCTCTTCTTTAGAAAAATCCCCCAGAACCTGCAAATTCTTTGGTTTTCCAGCATTTGCATATTTGAACCCTTTCCAAAAGTGAATGTATGATTTTGAATTCTGTCTTTTCACAATGAGAACAAATGAGGGACACATATATAACTAATACAAAAGATGAAAACATTCACTGATGGTCATGAAAGGAACACAAACTTTTTGAATTGAATGATCATTGTAAATTGTACTTATATTGTCTACTGGCAGACATGTTAATATATATGTAGTTTCTGAAGTGCAATACTAAATGAGGAACATAATCTGTAAACATAATGAGAAAAACTGCTTTTAATGCATTGTGTTGCCTTCTTAAGAATCTGTAAATGTTTTCATGTTTTGTAATACTTATGTACGAGTTCCTCAATTTTTCTCAGTGTTAAAAGATGGATCTAAAAATCATACATTCGCTTTTGGAAAGTGTTCACATATGCAGAAGATGCTGGAAAACCAAATAATGTGCAGGAGCTGAAGGATTTTTCTGAAGAACAGCAGGCAGATGACCTGCCCAGGACAAACAAGCGACTCATGAACAATACACAAAAGACAAAAACAGTTGTGGATCATTCAGGAAACGACACACAGTATTAAGATTCAAAAGTATGTGAACTTTTGAATGGGGTCATTTATATAAATTCAGTTAAAATTTTGTCTTGTGGAGAATATATGAACATCTCTGATGTTAAATAGTTTATTCAGGACAGTACTAAATAAATAAAAATACATACAGCTTTCGAGTTTCCTTTTTATTTTGTTAAAATTATTAACATTTAGTATATTATGCAAGGGTACGTAAACTTATGGGCACAACTGTATACAAATGACTAACCTCTGCTTTTGAAGAAATTAATTAGTTTCCTGCAATCTATTGGTGAAAGGAAGTCTTTGACGTCATCTAATGTGACATATTGGAGGTCATCATCTGTTTTCACACCAATTCTTCTTAATTCTGATGTCAAGTCATTCAGTTGATCTTTATCCAGCATTGGGAGGGCACTTCTAATGACAGCTTCCATCTTTTACCTTTTTACCCTAGACAAACAGAATGGTGAAGTGCAACAAAATTAGCATCAAATCGTTTGTACACTGGCAGGGGGTAATAGTCAGCTAGATTCTCTACGTTTACACACAAATATTCAGGATTTGACTCTTGCTGCAGACAATGCAGACCCAGATCAATAACTGTTACTGATTTACACTTTTCAACAACAAAGAATAAGTCTGAGAAGTGTATCAGAATCATTTCAATTTTCCCAAATGTGTACACATCATCTGTGTGATCTACCACAACAACCGTCGACGTTTTGTATGTGGTTCCTTTGTATGTAACAGTTGATGTGACAAATGTGGAGTCAAGAAGGCCTTGCATCCTTACAGCTGCTTGAATGCAGGTGTTGTATACATGACTGTGAAACTCATCTGCTTCACCTACTTGCATATTTGGGGAAAAGATGGAGCTAGCACTCAAATAGGCTTGCAATAATTGATGTCCGTCAGCTAGCGAACTCCCTAGGTTTTTAAAATTTCGCAATTTTCTGGCACACTGTTTAAAATAGCTGTGCTTGCTTTCGAATCGTAAACTCCATAGCCNAAATTGGTTTGGAATATTGAAGAATTCTATTTTGCAGAGGAAAAAAAACAATGAGGCCAGCTGATTTCATCTGCAAACCTCACTCCTCCCTCAAAGGAAGATACAGGGAACACATGATTAGACGTGGACTATCATTTACTGCTAGACCACTAAATAAAAAAAGGAAAGGGGAAGCCCTCGAGCTGTCTGAAGAGCAGTGGGCTACACGTGTCAGCGAAACCCCTTCCAAATCCAAATACTACAGTGTCCCAGTTGCAATACCTACCCCCAAAAAGGCAAAAAAAAATAAGACAGAAAGGGATCAGGACAAATCAAGTACCAATCATGAACAGGACCTAAACAGAACTTCTAAGGCTTCCAAAACAGACAATAATCCTAAACAACACAGAAAATGGTCAGATGTAGCCATTCTACAAAATGCAGAAGAAAAGGTACTTTGCATTTCATTCGTTGTCTTATTCAGTGCATACATGCCTGAATTCCATCCATCCATTTTCTGAAACCACTTAACCCATTCAGGTTTGTGGGGGATCTGGAGCCTATGGGCGCAAGCTGGGGAACCATCCAGGATGGGGGGCCAACCCATCACAGGGTGCAATCACACATGCACACCTATAGGCAATTTGGCAATTCCAGTTAGCCTCAGCATGTTTTTGGACTGTGGGGGAAATCTAGGGTACCTGGAGGAAACCCCACGATGACACTGGGAAAACATGCAAACTCCACACACAAGGACCCTGGCGAAGGATCCAACTCAGCTCCCAGTGGTGTGAGGCTACAGTGCTGACCTCTGCACCACCATGCTGCCCCATGCCGGAATTATTTAACTTAATTCATCTTCTTTTCAAGATGCATGCACTGTGGGACGTGTCAGACAATGATGCCGTGATAGCAGTCATGTCCGCTCCAGAGAGACTGAACACACCCGTTTTGAGAGTCACAGATTTTAAAACTCTGTGTCCACATAAATGGCTAACTGGAGAGGTAAGATATTTTACAATGATAATTCTACAATGGTTTAATTCAGATGATCATATGTCTTTCAGTTGTATTTAATTTAGAATTACAATGTTAGACAAATTTGTGTTGTACTTCTATAATGCCTTTTTTCCTTTCTAATCACCATTCAAACATGAAGACCATCGAATACTACCTACAGCTTACCAAAAATCAACATAACACTGCAAAGCGCATTTTCTTATTCAGTTATTACACTGTGGGTGTCATTATGAATGGACAGGATGATGCAATACGTCGCCAATTGATGTCACAGGTAAATAATCTGACATTATATTATATGTTTC